GGATATAACCACCAGCCACCCACCCAAGATCAAACCTTCTGTTCCTGAGCAAACTACAGACCAGTAGAAACTGAAGCAAATACTGAAGGAAGGAAACACAACGAGAACCACCCAGTGTAATACAGTTTGGTCAGGACATGGGATAGAAAGTACATTAGTAGTGCTAACTTGACAATTTCTGGAAGATAGCAGGACATCAAGAGAATGTCCCCAGTGGGGTAGACACTATCCTGTTGCTAGTTCTCCACGTTATCCAATGAAGATGAAATGCAGAGAGCAGAAAATCTGTGAGGGATCTGGGGCTGGAACTTCTTCCCTTCCAGAGCATGTGACCATGTCACTAACCTATGCCACCTCATAGGTGCCCAGTGGGGCAGCTTCAGGAGTAGGCTGGGTAAATTGTTGGCCTGGTGGTTACAGAATATTCTTGGGAAATGAGAGGTGCAAATTCAATGAGCCTGAAGTTGGTTCCTTATTCCTTGTTCCTGGTTTCTTATTCCCGGTCCCTGGTTCCTCTTTCAAAAGCTAATCTAGACCCAATAAAAGCTTGTTATTAATGAATTACGCATTCTAAAGAGAGAGACACTTCATTAGCATGGTAGATATACTAATTAACATGTAAAATAATATCCCACATCAAGTACAGAGCCCTAAATGAAGCTCGGATTAGGTTACGATTATGGGGCAAAATACTTCTTGGGCCACCCCAAACTTCCTGTCTATGCCACTGGAGGACTGTCCCAAAGAACCCTGACCGCAGTCCTGCGCGGCCCAAAGCACAGTTTGGCCGTGCCAGGCTACCAACTGACAGCCCCCACGCCCACTCTACTAAGTATAATGGGGCTTGAATAAGGAACTATAGCTAGAAATCCTTCTTGGGCCACCACAGAACACATCTCTGTGCCACTGGGGGACTCTCCTGGATATCTCTGATGAGAGAGTTGCCCAGCCCAAAGCGCAGTTTGGCCGTGCCAGGCTGCCAGTTGACAGCATCCCCAGCCACTGTGCTAAGTATGTGAACCTGAGGAAGAAACAGGCTTTTGGGCTAGGATTACAGCTAGAAATCCTTCTTGAGTCACCCCGTGGAATACCTCTGTGCCATCTCATGGACATCTCTGACCAGAGACTTGCCTGGCCCAAAAGGTGGTTTGGCCGTGCCCGGCTGCTATCTGACAGCACCCCAGCCACTGTTCTAAGGAAAAAGG